TCCAACCGTAATTACACATAAAGGGAAAAGAGGGCAGCATGGGTTTTCCAAACAGGACAGGGTCACAAACCCTCCCGGGGGTACTAGGATAGCAGTTAAGGCCAGGCCCAGGAATCCCTCCATCTTGAAGAAAAGGACAGGAGTAAATGTGACCTGAAGACTGGAAGGAGTACACACCCACAACCTACTTACTGCACACTCCCGGCCACCTTGCTCCCCCCTCCTGGGCTGCGCACACGTCCTGCTCCCAGACCCTCGCCCTGAACCCCCCTAACTCCCTGACTAGCTCCAGTCGCCCTGGGCCCCCTCAAGATACCCAGACTCGCCTTTGAAACTCTCTGGCCTGTCCCCACAACCTGGCCAGACCCTAATCCCCTCTCGGGCATCCCTACCCTCAGCCGGAACCGGCCCTGGCCGCGCTTTGAACTTCACCCCGCGCCCCTCGACGCCCCCTCCCCCACCCGCGCAACGACACCCCCACCACCCGCGCCATACACACCTTCCCCCTCGCTCCGCCCCGGCCTCGCAACCCCCACTTCCTCTGTCAGGCGCCGCTACCCCTGGCCCCCTCGGCGCCGCCGCCTCTTTCCTCCCCCAACCCCGGCTCCACACAAAGCTCCGGACTCACCGCGCGGCCGGTCCCGGGAGCCGCCACCTCCGCCCGCCCGGGCCCCGGGCCGTCGAGCCGCCGCTGCTACGGGGCCCAGGCCGCCATCCGTTCCCGCGGCCCCTCCCCCCCACCCCACCCCGCCTCGTCTCCGGCTCTCCGCCCCCTCCTCGCGCCGCTCCGCCCCGCCCGCCGGTGCCGCTGTGTCCGGGGCCGCGGGTCCCTCCGCCGCCGCCACCGCCGCCGCCGCCGCCGCCGCGATCCGGGACAACCAGGGCCGCCCGCAAGACCCGGACACTGGACTACCGGGCCCTCGGATCCGGATCCCGGGCTGGTGTGCAGTCTGGAGCGGTAGAGCGCAGGGGAAACCCGGAACCTGGATGGACGAACCAAATCCTGGGTCTCGGAACGCGCGGTCACATGGAGCCCGGATTAGAGACTCGGAGCCCGGATTAGAGACTTGGAGCTCTGGGAATGCTGGAAAACCCGGCGAGCCGGTTAAAACAGAGATAAACTCGAAGAAACCTGGATTGAAGAGCTCGAACCTAACGCTCTCTCCTCGTGGAAAGAACTCTCGCTGGACCAGACTTCCTCGCAGAGAGGTCTCTGGGGAAGTATCATACCTTAAATGCGGAAGACATCAATTCTGTAGGTGTCCAACCGTGGGGAGAGGAAAGGGTCACAAGGGGTCGGAACGTGAACATCCACAAAGAACAGAAGAGCAAGCACAGCTCATCGTGTTTCACCCATTTCATCCCTTGGTTCAGCAAAGTATCAATCCCCTAATTTTTTATCCTTTGTTCTCCAATTTCTTTTGTAGGATTACCACTAGTTTTCCTCCTAAAAGTACCCATTTCTAATCCTTCTAATATCACTTTTCACCTCACCACCCCATATCACCAAATCTTGTTGCCTTTTATTATCTAAAAGTCCTACGGTTCTTTTCCAACCCACCATTCCAACTATTGTAACTTTTATCTTATCTGCTATTCCATCTGATTGCCCAGCACTCTATCTAGTAGGCATCCTGTCCTTGTTTAAGTGAACCCTCCCACTCACCTCTCACTCATGAAACTTATCATACTTTTCACCACCTCTTCCCTAAAACGTCCACCCCCTTCCCTTGCGAAAAGAAATTTATCTTAATTCTCAAGTCTTAGCCTCAATTATGTCCTTGACCATCTTAGCTCTGCAGGGTTTTTTTGGCTGCGCAGCATGTGTGATCTTAGTTTCCTGACCAGGGATCAAACCTGTGCCCCCTGCAGTGGAAGTGCAGAGTCCTAACCACTGAACCGCCAGGGAATTCCCAGCTCTGCAGTTTTTATCTTTCCTTTCCCTTACCCTGAGGCATCCTTCAACAGTGCCACTCAAGAGAGTATGTGACTTGGGGATACAGCCAGGTCATAAAATCCCTTTATATCTCCAAATACACATGCAAAAGGTGTGTGTGTGCGTGTGTGTGTGTGTGTGTGTGTGTGTGTGTGTCAGGGGGTGATGGCTAAAGATGAACACTAAGCCTATCTGGCCTAGGAAAAATAATCTCCCCTTGGTCCACCCATATTCAGTTTGTTCTAGGACCTGACAAAACTGACCCCAGGTGACAGAAGACCTCTAATCTGTACTGGACGATGTTACAAGCGAGGATTCAGCTACTTGCAGGTAGACAAAGAGAAGGGTTTAGAGACTTAGGTATGAATTAAAGGTTAACACTTGAGTAGTCATCTTCTACTGAAGAGCATGACTCTACCACTGAAAAAGACTGGACTGCAAAAATGGGGAACAAAGCACACATTCCTACAGTGAACTTCAATTTTTAGACAGAAATTTTTCAAGCCTAGAAGAACCATTAAAAATTTTCAAGCAATTGATGTCCTATACAGTAAAAGAATCTTAAGCTTTGACTTCTTATTCGTCTAGACCAGGGTTTGGCAAAATATGGCCCACAGGTCAAATCAGGTGCAGTGCCTGTTTTGGTATGTCCCATGAACTAAGAATAAGAATGGCTTTTACATTTTTGGATGGCTGAAAAATAATCAAAAGAAGACTATTTTGTGATGTGAAAATTATATTAATATATTAATTCAAATTTCAGTGTCCATAAAAAAAGTTTTACTGGCTCATAGCCATGTTCATTCACCTACGTATTATCTATGGATTCATTTCACTTGCACTGCAACAGCAGAGTTAAATAGTTGTAACAGGGACCATATGGCCTGGAAAGCCTAAAATAGTTGCTGTCTGGCCCTTTACAGAAAAAGTGTGCTGACCCCTGCTCTGAACAAGCAGTGTCTGATAGAACTTTTTGCAATGATGGAAGTATTCTATTCTTGAGCTGTCCAATTCAGAAGTCACTAGTTACATGTAATTATGTGAACACCTGAAATATGGTACTGTGACTGAAGAACTGAATCTTAATTTCACTTAATTTAAATAATCACATGTGGCTAGTGGCTACTATATTAGACAGCACAGCTCTAGATGCTCCTCAAATCTTATGTATTGACATTTTTTGCCCCTTGTCCCAACATCTCACTCCCTTCCTGTGACACATCTACACATTCTCAGTTGCCCTCTCTGCCCCACCTTATCTACCTGACCCCAAGTCAGGGTACAATATTTACTAGGTTTTCTTTCTAGACACTCCTCATTGTCACAACAGAAATCTAATCAGTCTACCAGGTTTCACCACATGAATTAACCCACATTATGTGCACACACATAAATGGACACACATTTACACAAGTTTCTTTGTGTCAGAGGATGGCACTGTGGCTATGTTCTTTCTTCTCTGCATGAGAGAATTAGAAAGCCCTCCACATGCTAGATTCCTTGATGCTGCTGGAGCCTGTGATATGGATCACCTCCCTCCAAACACATTCACAGAAGCTGAGAACAGCAGATGTGCACTTGCTATTTGAATCTCAAGGAAAAAAATCCTTCATCACAGGACTTTCTTTCCTGCCCTCCGAGGCCTAATAAACTGAAGTTAGCTGATTTCTCTAGTTTAATAGATGCTTGCTTTTTTACTGGCCTTGTCTAACTGGGCAAGAGAACAACCCCAATACTGTCTCTATCTTGGCTAGGAGCTCTAGCAAAAGCATTAAAAAAAAAAAAAAAACTTACCAAATGAAATGAAATCCACATAAATGTACTTCAATAAAGACAGTAGTTAAAATGGAAAGAGATTAGGGTTATAACTCATAAAAAGCCATAACTTTGTAATTATTTGTAAAAGCAATCTTTATAGTCAATTTTTTATACCTACTCCCTAGGAAAAAAACGGGTTTCTGTAAACTTCCAGCTTAAAAAGAAAAAAAGGGACACCTAGTTTTCTTTCTCCAGATTAGCTATAGCAAGCAAACACCACCCCACCCCACCCCTACTCCATTCCAAACATCTATCTGCAAGGCCAAAGCCTCCTAAAAATCCTGGCAGAGAAAGACTCCAGTTTTATATATATCCTACTTTGAGCTTATATAATTGAGACTGTGTCCTGCCTAGAAAAACAAAAACGCTGAATCCTTTAGCCACTATACAAATTGAGAGCCAATGAACCCAACCATCCAAAGGAGGGTACAGATATTTAGGCTGTAGAAGTAAACCAGCTCAGAAATGTGGACCTTCCCTCAGGCCAAGCTGTCCCAGAGTTACAGGGTCAGTGCAAAGTGCTGTAAAGTACTGAAAGGCTACTCCTGGGCGAGTTTGTACTCGGGCTGCTAAGATTTTCCACGAGGCTTTAAATTATGCTATTCATCACTGAGCAACTGACGGCCATCTACCCCCAAGTCTCTCCCACACTTCCTCCCCGGTGTCTCCACAAATAAAAGAGAGACCATATACCACCACCACGTGAACTGAAGAGAGTCTTTCACAGTCTAACCATGAAAAGGAGAAGTTTCCAAGTTACTCTGCCTTTACTCATGTGGCTCCAGCTGCATATTTTGGTTGCTGAGGTGGGTTTCTCATAAACTTGTAAAGTTTCTTATCACAGCACACAAAATGGTTGCATAACCTGAACTCTTGCATCTCCTGATGTTTTTCTTTAGGCATGCACACACAATCTATCCAGGTGGAAAAATCAATCCATACTCCTCTGTGTTCAGGCTGTCTGTCGTTCAAATAAAAAGGCAGAAAGATAAACTTTTTTTTTTTTTTTGCTCCTTAGGTTCTTCACCTCCTACCTTTCAATTTTATTTTGGTATTAAGAAAACCAGACAATTCCAGCACAGAATTCAAATTGCTACTGCTTGGTAAACTATTAACTGCATAGTGAACCCAGTGTGGCTTCATTAATAGTACTAGGGTCTGCAGAAAGCCAGAGAGAGACTTTTTTCCCCCCTAAAGAACTGCCATTGGCGTCCTTTCCAACTTTCTCTACAGAAGTTGAACAGAAAAAAAAAAAAAAAGAATACAACATGCCTTCATCACTAGAACAAGAATTGGGTGGGTTTTGCCTGGGAATCCAGAGTGATCAGGCCCCCACAAAACCAATGCCCAGAGCTCTGCAACAAGCAGGGTTCACAGTTGAGTGAGCATCAATGCATAATGAGTGGAGGCATTTCAATGCAAATAAATGCTGAATATGAAGGATTAAAGAAAGGGGAAATTAATCTTTTTCATAACACAGGGCACTTTTTTCTCTCCCTTGCGCTCTCTTTTTTAAGTCATGCACACAACTGCTGGAGGGAATCCAACTTCCCCAGTGTGGTAGTGCTGCTTTATAAAAAGCAGAACATACACATTTAAGACCGTGAATTTCCTGAGGATGCCAGCAAATGAGATTCTGACAGCTCTTCTGAACAGCCTCAGAAAAAAAGTGCTTCACTAAGTGGGACCAGAATGACTAGTAAAAATCTCATTTCAAACCAACCTCCTATTTTTCCAAAGCTCATAGCTTCTTGGGGTATGGATGGCTTAAAGGGTTTGGTTTCAGCATTTTGGGATATTTTGATGCATTTACTGAAAGGATTTTATTTTTGTTTGTTTCTAATTCTCCATCCAAGTGATACTTTTCCAATACCAACAAAATAAACAGGGCGGTTTCATGCTGTTTTAGCAGGTGGCTCTATCTCATCCCAGTCTGATCCTCTTATGTCCTAATGTCTCAAACCAAAGAACAAAGTGGCAGCACCTCTTCAGGTTATCCCCCCACCCCACCCCCCACCAAAATCGGCCAGCGAAGGTTACTCAGCTGAATACTATTCACTTGAAGAGATGTTGGACTAGAGCAGCAAAGTTGATTAAAAACCTCTCTGTCCAATCACACGTTTCTATTAAACACAATTCCTCAAACATCCTAATACTCTACCAGGTTATCATTGGAAAAAAAAAAAAACTTTAAAATTCAAGTGGTCCCTTAAAATACTGTTAACCTAGGTTAAGAATTTTCCTAACTAAAACAAATCCAAGCCTCAGAGAGGAAAATAATTTCCAACTTGTTCCTTTTTCTTCTGTATCATTCTGAGAAAAATGTCAAAGATCTAGAATTTTTAAAATAAGTCTTTATAAATAATGTATCCAAAGATTTTTGACCCACTACATAAAGTAAGAATCCCACTCTTTAAGAAAAATATACAGATTTTGATGAGTTTAAATTCTGAGAGGTTCAAGCCTGATGCCAAGCCTTTAGATGTCTACTGCTTCAATTCCAAAGGACCAGTGGATAGCAATTTTAGTACACAAAACTCCACTATGCTGTATAGTTCCTTTTTTCCTGGGTCAGACAGCTTTATTCTGCTTCATTAACCCCTTCTTTGCTCCTTGATGGATCTTGGAATCCAGTTTCCCTGTAAGGGAGAAAAAGAAGCCTCATTATTTATTTTTTATATTTGCAATGCAAATCTTTCATGGCCTCCCAGGTCTTCTGGTTACTGTGCTGCTGTCACATTCAATTATCTTGCTTCAGGACTCAGACACTTTCAAACTTCAGAGTTTCATTCTGTAAGAATGAGGAAGCAATGGGAACACTGTATAGGGACACACAAATGTACGTACGTACACAGACACAATGAGTATTCACCTAAAAATCTAAGAAGTTAATATTTCTAATTTTGTAGTTACTAGAAAAGAAACATTGCATTTTCCAGAGTGCCTGATGCTAAGGCAGGTTTTTAAAGAATACACACATAATGATAAAGGAAGACATTTCACACAGTGGGAAACCCATTCCTCTGACCTGTTAACTGGCTGAGCATAATGCATGTACCTCCCTCACAGTGAGAAAAGCAGTTCAACTCACTCCTTTGCTGCCTCAGACTTAATAGGGGGAGTGACCTGAAACAGTGGAGTAGAATCCACACGAATGCTTTACTGACAAAGGGCCCCTATCACCAGTTAAGAAGGGCAAAGGTCATAGGCTGTATGACTCTCCTAAGTGTTAAAGTTAGAAAACAAGCAACCTTCCTGTCCCAGGTGACCCTAATGAGAGGTACTTCACAGATGTGGTCTCCGACCTCTGACTTCTCAGATCTACCAGGATAAAGTTGGGTTCAGTGGTAGCTGCTGCCTTAGGAAATATCCATCTCATGAAGAAAAACTATCAGAGTTCCTGTCTGCCTGGCCTGAGAACAGAGCTTGCAGGTTGCTTTCTCCCACAAAAAGTCTTATTTAAGTCAATAGAGTTGCTGATGTTGGAAACAGAAATAGTTCAGTTCAGCCTTGGCACTAAATAAACAAACAAACAAAAACAAAAGCAGCTGGGTGTACTTCAGGCCTATACCCACAACCACTGCCCCTTGTATGTTGTCATTTTCATTTGTTGCAGTAATCAGGTATAAGAGAGAAAGCACTGGACACAAAGCCAGGAAACCCAGGTTCCAGTCCTCCTTTGTCTGATACCAACTAGATGAGTGACTTGGGGCAAGTCATTAGATCTCTCTGGACTTCAATATTCTCATTTGTCCAACTAAGGTAAGAATACATGTCCGGACTACTGCACAAGGAGAGTGTGAAAAAAATTACTTCGATCTAACACGTTTCCCTGTTTTCTTAATTTTTTTCTTCTTCCTCATCTTTCCAGGGTGACATCTGCCTCTGGAATAACATTACTTCCTTCTCTGGGCTTCCTTAGAAACCATCACTAAGTGATATCCTAAATGATGTCCACAACAGTCACAATGATGTTGACTTTAATTTGGGCTTTAGAGCACAGAGTTCTCCTAGAGATTTAGGAGTTCTTTCATCCCCCAGGCTGTCTTGCTGGAAATCCAAACATGTGCCAGCAACCTGGCAAAGGGCCCTGTTACGAGGCAAGTTTGCCGTTGTATCCCTAAGACTACCAAATGGCAGGTGCTCAATAAATGAATTAAACAAAGAAAAGCAGACACCACAACTTTCAAAACGTTTACTTTATAGGGACTACTAAGTAACCAAAAATAGCAGATATCAGATAAACATAAAAGAGTACTCATTGTAAAGCTGGTGGTACCCAGAGGTACAAAGAAGTATTGCATCTCATTAAGCGTTTTAGGACAAGCTAGGACACAATTTAGAATTCCATCTAGGACCACAGACTTCTAGTTCTCTGTACTGAATAAGTTAGAAGACCCAGGTCCCAGTTTTAGTCCTAAGACTACCTATCTGTATAACCTTGAGGAAATCACCTAGTTACTCTTGTCCTCAACTTTTTCAATGCTATGAGGAAACTTGGACTACACAGTACTGAAGGCCCTTTGCAGCTCTGTGATACTGTGCCCTAAAAATGAAATGTAAATTGGAATACTTCGTTTCTGAGGCAATGTGATAAAGTGAGAAGAGCAGGAAACCTAGAGGTAGAAAGACCTGAGCAAAATATAATTTCTGTAAACCTGTTCACTCAGCTATAAAATGAAAGGAAGAAAAAATTCCTACTAACTTACAAAGTTGTTGAGAGGATTATAGCTAATGCTAAGTGTTTTTCTATATACTAAGCACTGTACCAAGTATTTTACATATACTGAATCATTTAATCAAATAATTAATTTAAATAATATAGATCAAAGGGACTTCTCTGGTGGCACAGTGGTTAAGAATCCACCTGCCGGGCTTCCCTGGTGGCGCAGTGGTTGAGAGTCCGCCTGCCGATGCAGGGGACACCGGTTCGTGCCCGCATCCGGGAAGATCCCACATGCCGCGGAGCAGCTGGGCCCGTGAGCCATGGCCGCTGAGCCTGCACGTCTCGAGCCTGTGCTCCGCAACGGGAGAGGCCACGACAGTGAGAGGCCCGCGTACCGAAAAAAAAAAAGAATTCACCTGCCAATGCAGGGGACATAGGTTCGAGCCCTGGTACAGTAAGATCCCACATGCTGCGGAGCTACTAAACCCGTGCGCCACAACTACTGAGCCTGTGCTCTAGAGCCCAAGAGCCACAACTACTAAGCCCACGTGCCACAACTACTGAGCCCGCGCACCTAGAGCCCGTGCTCCACAAGAGAAGCCACCACAATGAGAAGCCTGCACACCACAACGAAGAGTAGCCCCCACTCGCCGCAACTAGAGAAAGCCTGTGCGCAGCAACGAAGACCCAACGCAGACAAAAATAAATAAATAAATAAAATTTATTAAAAAATATATACATTAAAGTGCTTCATGAGTTCAAAGTTCTCTGAAAAATTAACGGTAGTCGCGTTATTTATGCTAAGGCTTGGGAGTTGTGTTTCTTAGTTATGGTCTCAGTTTTACTTTTACTTTACCATATTTACCAGATAACTCTAGGCAAGACTTTTAACTATATTTATTTCAGGCTCCCCAAAGCTTTACTGGATAAGAATATTCCAAATATAATTTTCATAAAACTTCAGTCTGACTGTGAAAGCCCTCACATGAGACCAGCTCAGGTAAGATCAACCCATTGGAGCAGAGCACTCAATGGTAGGCAAATTAATCTCTGGCTTCAATGATGATGTCATAAAATGGAAAACTGATGGGAGGAAGGAGATACAGAGGACGAAGGATTTCCAGGGCACTCCCAGGGATTCAGAAAGTCTTTCATCCCCTAGACTAACCTAAGAAAACCATACATGTGCCAGCAATCTGTGAGCTCCTTACAACTAAAAATTTCTTTGCATCCCTAATATCTGCCATAGTGACTGCCAATAGTAGCAGTTGGTTTAGCTGGGCAATGAAGGCCACGGACTGGGGCTCCTTGCATGAAGAAGCAGTTATTGTGGATGCCCTCTGAACTCTGAGTTCTAGTTTAGCCTGTTTTTTTAAGACTTGGGATCTGGACAGTTAACTACAGTAATATACAGTACACTCTCTTAAAAGCAGAGAGATAATGCTTAGTTTCTGTATTTCCCCAATATTTTTACATTTAGTACATACAGCATTTCAGTGTTAAACCACATCCTCAATCATGGTGCCTAAAAGAAAATCAAATGCATGTGCAGCAGATGGAGGAGAAGTTAAAAGGGAAAAAACTATTTGCCATCAATCGATATAACTCTCATAGGGATTTTCACATGCTTTGCATAAGATATAAGGCAGAATTTGCATGAGTTTATAAAGCATGTAGTTCATTTAAAGTAAAAAAATTACCTTCATCTCTTTGAGCATTCAACCTACATATCCTACTATACTTAACTTTTTTGCATTTCTTAATTTGAGCAGACACACAGCCAAGTGATTTCATATTGCACATTGTTTTCTGAATTATTTCAACTTCAAGAAGCACAATTATCCTCAGGTCAAGCAAGCTCAAGTTTACATGTCCAAAAACATAAATAAAAATATATGCCTTTAATTTAAAGCAAATATATACACGTGATACAACATGTAAATGAGTTATATTGTAGACAGTTATTTGCAAGTCAGAAGTTTGGAACTTAGAATAAATTTCCCATAGAACTAATCTATGAAAAGTGGCTAGGGGCTTCCCTGGTGGCGCAGTGGATAAGAATCTGCCTGCCAATGCAGGGGACATGGGTTCAGGCCCTGGTCTGAGAAAATTCCACATGCCGCGGAGCAACTAAGCCCGTGTGCCACAACTACTGAGTCTGCACTCTAGAGCCTGCGAGCCACAACTACTGAGCCTGCGTACCACAACCACAGGAGCCCATGCGCTACAACAACAGAAGCCACCGCAATGAGAAGCCCGCGCTCTGCAACGAAGAGTAGCCCCTGCTCACCGCAACTAGAGAAAGCCCGCACACAGCAACAAAGACCCAATGCAGCCAAAAATAAATAAATAAACAAATAAATAAAAAATTAAAAAAAACAAAAGAAAAGGGGTCAGGTTCCTAAGCCATCCCACAAGAAAAAAATATTTAAGGCACAGAGCTGTAACTGAAGTAGAGTATTAATATTATTAATACCATGGAACTTAACCACTTCATGTAACAATATTCTAGAAGAAAATGTGAAGCATTCCAAATTAAGAGCCAAGCATAGGAACTCCCTTGTGGTGCAGTGGTTAAGAATCACCTGCCAATGCAGGGGACACGGGTGTGATCCCTGGTCTGGGAAGATCCCACATGTCGCGGAGCAACTGAGCCCGTGCACCACAACTACTGAGCCTGTGCTCTAAAGCCCATGAGCCACAACTACTGAGCCCACGTGCTGCAACTACTGAAGCCCGTACGCCTAGAGCCTGTGCTCCGCAACAAGAGAAGCCACCGCAATGAGAAACCTGCACACCGCAACAAAGACTAGTCCCCACTTGCTCCAAGTAGAGAAAGCCCGCGTGCAGCAACGGAGACCCAACACAGCCCTAAATAAATAAATTTATTAAAAAAAAAAAAAAGAGCCAAGTATGTGTTTTCCCCTATGGAAGTGGGATTAAAGAATTTTCCAACTGTAAACTACTGGAGGT